GAGTGTGTTAAACAGGAACCCCCCTCATCAGCCTCTGTCCCTCTGCTGGGTTTCCAGTCCAATCTGGACTAAATCATGTACTGCAGGGGTGTCCAGCTCCCGTCCTGCAGGTTTCAGAGGTTTCCCTGCTTCAGCACCCCTGATTCTGATGAATTGGATCAGTCCAAAGTCCAAAGGCTCTGCACAAATCTGATAATAATCGCACACACACGTGAATCAGGTGTGTTGAAGCTGGGAGACTTCTAAAACCTGTAGGACAGTGGCCCTTTGAGGACCAACTTTGGACATCCCTGATGTACAAAAAAACACCAGATTTCTCTTTATTGAACGGCACAGAAAGATCCAAACGCCTCGGAAATGTTCCTCCCAAATTTTTATATACACATTTAACAGTTACAAACATAAATAAACCGGAGTAAGAATAAAAAAATAATAAAAAAAAGCTTTGTTTTGTTTTGTTTCTCCATGTTTTAAGCACCAGTGGTTGATATCCACCTTCAGCCCCCCCCCTGAGCTGCCACATGGTTCGGTCCGGGGGGGTCGGGGCATGTCTTTAAGGGGGGGGCCCCTCCTGGAGAATCCAGGGGAGCTTCTCACAGACCCGGGACACGCAGGTTTCCGCCAGCAGGCCGAGGCAGACGGCCGTCAGGGACAGACGCCGACTGCAGTTCAGGATCACTAAAAACCACAAAAACAGAGATTTAGACAGAAATCCCCAACAAAAAACCACCATCCAATCACAGATTATACACCAGATAGTTCAATCTCAGCCTGACTTGCTCATAGGTACAAAAAAATAATAATAAAAATAGTTTTTATATTTATTTTTCATTAGTTTAAACCATTTGGGGTCAGTGAAAGAAGAATGAGTCGCCCCCTGCTGGTGGCTTTTATGCATTACATCATCTTGCTTTTCCTCCAGGTTTTCTATTCCCGATTCAAACTAATGAGACTTCATCAGAGCTTAAAGTCCTCTTTCAGGATTAGCCTTAAGCCCCAGGGGAAACTTCCTCTACCAGGCAAACAGGAAGCAGCAGAGAGTAGGGTTGTCAAAAGTATCGATACTAGAACGTTGTATCCGGATCTGACACTCTCATATTTATTTATTTATTTACGTTGTTAATGGTCATTAACGTGACGTTAGCCTTGAATTGCTAGCTGTGGCTAACGGCTAATAATAACACACCAACATTAATCAAGTCTGCAGGAAGCCAAAGATGGATATCCAACTCCCCCACATCCAAGTCGGCCATTTTGATTAGGTCACCAATAGGAAGATCCCAGGCAAGAAAATCCTAATTGCTTCATGGCAATATAGACATTAATTTAAAAATAGAGAAATGTATCTTTCAAACACTGAATTAAACTCTATCCATAGTATTGTTATAGTATGTTAAAATAGTGGATGTTAAATAGGTTTGTACAATAAGTCCAAACAAGTTTAACCCAAAAAATATTTATTTCTCACAATTATGAAAGCTGGAGGGTTAGGGTTAGGGTCAGGGTTAGGGTTAGGGTTAGGGTCAGGGTTTGGTTTAGGGTCAGGGTTAGGATTAGGGTTAGGGTCAGGGTTGAGGTTAGGGTTAGGGTTATTAATGTGGGCCACCATAACATCAGTAACAGGTCAGTTTGAAACCAAAGACACTAACCTGTCAAAATTCAGTTAAATTTTGGGGTCTTTGTTTTTATCCTTGTGGTATCGAAAATGGTATCGAGTATGGAGTATTTTCCTGAGTATCGGTATGGAGATTAACATCCTACCTGGGAGCAGGCGGGCGTTTGGGTTAGGGTTAGGGTTAGGGTTGAGGTTCGGTTTAGGTTTAGGGTTAGGTTTAAGATTGGGTTTAGGGTTAGGGTCAGAGATAGGTTTAGGGTCAGGGTCATTAATAACATCAGTAACAGGTCAGTTTGAAACCAAAGACACTAACCTGTCAAAATTCCGTTAAATTTGGCGGCCTTTGTTTTTATCCTTGTGGTATCCAAAATGGTATCGAGTATGGAGTATTTTCCTGAGTATCGGTGTCGAGATTAACATCCTACCAGAGAGTAGGGTCAGGGTCAGGGTTAGTGTTAGGGTCAGGGTCAGGGTTAGTGTTAGAGTCAGGGTTAGGTTTAGGATTGGGTTTAGGGTTAGGGTCAGAGATAGGTTTAGGGTCAGGGTCATTAATAACATCAGTTACAGTTCAGTTTGAAACCAAAGACACTAACCTGTCAAAATTCTGTTACATTTTGGGGTCTTTGTTTTTATCCTTGTGGTATCGAAAATGGTATCAAGTATCGAGTATTTTCCTGAGTATCGGTGTCGAGATTAAAATCCTACCAGAGAGTAGGGTCAGGGTCAGGGTTAGTGTTAGGGTCAGGGTCAGGGTTAGGGTTAGGATCACCATAACATCAGTTACAGGTCAGTTTGAAACCAAAGACACTAACCTGTCAAAATTCTGTTACATTTTGGGGTCTTTGTTTTTATCCTTGTGGTATCGAATATTGTATGGTATTGAATATCTTCCTGGGTATCGAGTATGGAGATTAACATTCTACCAGGGAGCAGGCGGGCGTTTGGGTTAGGGTTAGGGTTAGGGTCAGGGTTAGGGTTAAATCCTACCTCTGATGGCCTGGGAGTTGGAGGTGAGCACGAACAGCTTGATGAGGCCGAGGCAGAGCGGGGAGTAGTCGTGCTCCCAGATGACGGCGGGCACCAGCAGGACTTTCCCATAACTGGACAGAAGCAGCGCCCTGAATAACAGGCCCACATCCACGGGTCTGACCTCAGGACCCCGGACCCAGACCTGGACCCCCCGGACCCCCTGGACCTGGACCCAGATCCACAGGAAACACAGCGCGGTGCCGCAGAACGCAGCCAGCTCTGCCAGAACACAGGAGGAGTCAGAAAAAATGAACCCCACACCCCTAAAATAAACTCCCATCAAGTAGAACATCAAACAAAATACAAGCCTCGGATTTTTTAAATGCAAAAATACAAAAATTGGATAAAAATAAGCGTTTAAGCTTAACAAGGATTTCAAACTACCATGCAGAAAAACATGCAGAAATGAAATGTGCTTCGACAAGAGCAGGCATATTAACTGGAATGTACTAATCTTTCATGCTAGTTTAGGCACTTCAACTTTGGTAGGAGCCATACTGAATCTTTCTGTGATGGGTGTACAGCGTGTTTCATGTTTCATGGTTCTGTTTGTGACCAAATGTCAGAAAATTTTCCGTCTTTAAAAATGTACCGATGGCATTTTTAATATAATTAGAATAAAGAAATTCCTGGACGTGTTAGTGACCAAATTTCAGAAAAAATTTAACGTCTTTAAAAATGTATAAACTGAATAAATGAGAGTGTGATAGTGTTTTTAAAAGTAATTAAAATAAAGAAATTCCTGGATGTGTTTGTGACCAAATGTCAGAAAATTTAACATCTTTAAATTGTACCGATTGAATAAATCAAAATGTGACAGCATTTTTAATGTAATTTTAATAAAGAAATTCCTGGATTCCTGACCAAATGTAACAAAATGTAGCGTCTTTAAAAATGTATAAACTGAATAAATCAGAATGTGATAGCTTTTTGGTTGTAGAAACAAACCAGTGGATTCATTCATAGTCGACACACTCTGCTATTCAACATATTGTTATCTGAACATGTGCCTTCCTCACCCAGAGCCACCACCCCAAACGTGCTGTAGAACTCCCATTCTCTGGTGTATCTGATGATGTCGGCGGGGTGGCTGCTCCGCCGGGCGCCGTGCAGCACCGACCACCTCAGGTAGGCCTCGCACAGCAGGCAGAACACACACAACTTCCAGTGGATCTGGACCAGGAGGAACATCAACAAACGGCCAAAGGACATCGTTAAAATGTGGCTCTGTGTTAAGCTGTGTGGACAGAGTACTGGCTCATGCCTTGAGTTAGTTGTCTTTTTTTTCTTTATTTTTTTTTACTCCTGATGACTTATAGGTCAGTGTTGAGCCGCTTAACAAATAGAAACATTCTGATAATGAATGAAAAATTATAGATATTCAAATAATGAAACTGAAAGACCACCAGAAAGCCTGGAAAACTACAGCTAAAGACCACTTTTAAAGATAATAGGAAAGTCTGGCTACCCGAAAGCAAAACATAAAGAAGGTTTTTGGACGGTGCTCTTTTTCTGTTGACTCACATTTAAACTTGTGTTGAACAAAATGTGCCTGAAAGCCTGTGTCTTGCACAAAATGGCATCGATGAGGATGATAACTGGGTCATACTCGATGTATTTATCCACAGGCTTTTGGCAGGATTCCTGGGAGAGAGAAACACAGACATATTTCAGTGTTGACTACACGAATATAGCACGTGACAATAAGCCCTCCTAACTTCATTTGACCAAGTAACTGATTAAAAACTAAGTTATAGATACAGTAAACTATAGCCATGTTTCTAATTTATTTACCAACCAATGGATATCATTTGTTAGCTAACATGCTAAAAGTTTCTCTAAGCGACTCAAAACAAATTTTCTCTAACCGACTCACACATATTGTTATCTTCAGGATGCCGTTTTTGTAATCTCTGTGGAGCTCCGCTGCTTTTTCACTGCATTCAACACACCGAAAAGCATCTTTCACCATTCTGACATTTGGCCACAGCTAAGCGCTACATGCTAACTTTCAAAACAGACCAACCGGAAGTACGTCACGTCGTCACGTTCCGCATTCAAAGTAAAATCACATATTAAAAAAAAGAAAAAACAAACAAACAAAAAAATCATATTGGGGCGTCGTTAGTCCTGTTTTTAGTTAACTTCAGCTCCCCTAAAATGATCTTAAGTTCCCTAAAAAGCTGGACCAGTTTTACAAATTTCTGTCAAGCTCATGTTTTGATTCAACGCAATGAAATGACAAGAAACGTAATGGATATTATTTTGAAAAGTAATGACCGGAAACTTCAACGTCTGCATTTAGAACGACCCATGCCGGTTTGACGGCCGCAGAGCATGCTGGGAAATGTCGTTCTTGTAATCTCTTTCACCATTCTGACATTTGGCCACAGCTAAGGGATACATGCTTAAAATTTTAATTTTTTAATGTCACTGTCTGAACGTGTGTCTCTCTGTTTTAACTGATATTGTATTATGTGAATTTTGTGATGTTTTGTCTTCCTGCCTCAGGACGACAGATGCGAATTAGCAACTATGCTGGAATCTGGCTCATTTACAATCTGTATGAAATTGTTCATTAATGTGCACTGTCCTGATTAAATAAATAAATAAATAAATAAATAAATAAATAAATAAATAAATAA